TTTCCTACCACTCCCTCTTCCTTCTCTTCTGTGTAATGTATGGATCCATGAATGGTATCAGCTCATGGTTCCAAATAAACCCTCCTCACATCGACCAATCAAACACACCTGTACACAGATTGCGAGGAGAAGTTGTACTTATCTGTATGAGCTCGTAGATCAAAGCCCGGTGAGCAGCGATCATAAATATAACATGATACTGTAGTGATTAATACACTGAAGCTGGACGTGGTTTTCTGGATGATGGAAAGTGTGTGTTGGTGTTTGTGCAGAGCAAAAAAGTGCTGCAGACATAACTGGTGATTACTAAGTGAAGAAAGGATTATTATCATAGATAATCTTAACTGTGGACTAGAGGGACATTTAAAATATGCTGAAATAAACAAGTAAAAAAATAAAGTGAGCAGTAATTAAAAGTCACAACAAACAAATTCAAATTGAGACAGTGGCAAAATAATGAGACAAGAGCTGCAGCGATGGAAGAGAAGCGAGAGATGGATGATCATGCACTGCAGTGGGGATGCAGAGATGATTAATTATTGTAAATTCATCATGGACATGTAAACTGTATTGATTAGTTTTGGGGAACTGTAAATTCTGTGAGCTGCTCTTGTGAAAACGGCTTCTGATGATTAGTCATAACACAGAGGGAGGGAAGTGGACGGAGCAGGACTGAGCCAGTGCATCAACATGAATGTTTCTCTCACCTCATTTGGTATATTAGCTAAACAACAGGATAAAAACAGGCTCCTGGCCGTGGAAAGCAGACCAGGCTGCTGCTTTATGACGAGTCTTCAAACCATCTGCGTTCATCAAGTTCACTGATTAAACAGAACTTTGAGTAGCTGAGCTGCTGGGTCGTCACCATCCAACATAAAGACTGAAAATGTTAGTAATCTTTATATGTTGATAAAGTATTCCATGCAGTTTTCATTTAGAGAAAGGCAAACAAAGCAGACTGAACTTTGATTAGCTAGCTGGTAGCTAGCTGGTAGTCCAACTCAACACATTTAAACAAAATAAAATGTTTCGTCTGGTTTGTCGTTCATTCAAGTAAACCATTCTAATTGAATGCGTTTGCTTATTTTGCTTCTAAGTGCAGCAGTTATCAAGTATTTCTTATATAATTAACTTGGGAAATAGTTTTTTAAATGCACTTGAGCAGCTTTGTTGTGCTTTCATTTGAGTGATGGAGAAGTTCTGCAGTGGTGTCAGCAGGTCTGTTGCATTTTGACAATATTCTGTGGTTTGTGGCCATAAGTTTCCAGAAGCTTAACACCATGTCTGTACTTCTGCTTGTAATAATCTCATCAACTCTTGAATAAGTTAAAGTTTCATGTCCAGGGGACAAAGAAGCAACATGTGGCTTTGGGTCAGTCAGGGTGAGATGAGGTTACTGCCAACAAAACCTGATAGTGAATGAAAACCATCTGTTTGAATCGGTTGAAACGGTTGGTTTAACTGGTCGACCCTGTCTGAGCGTGCAGCGAGGAATGGAGAAGGCAGTGTGTGTGTGTGTGTGTGTGTGTGTGTGTGTGTGTGTGTTAAGTGAATGAAAAACAGGTCATGTTTCCTCCTCATGCATACAATAGGACATGGATCTGTCTTCTCAGCCCACGTGTACACACACACACACACACACACCGTAGTTTCCTTGATTCCTTGTACAGAACTAATCCAGTTGGACTGCTTTCTGTGCCTAACTATTCCCTCCTTCTCTTTCCTTCCCCAAAGTCTTCCTCTGTAGTAACCCTAACCCCATGAGACCAGAATCACTTCCCTCCACACTGAGTCACGTACACACACTACCCGCTCTTCTTATTTCCGGTTCTCTTAGTGACTCGCCTCATTGTTTCTGTCTGAAAGTCAGCGGCGTGTGGTGACTGCAGACCACAAGGCAGCTGCTTCTCACAGTTTGGTTTCCGGGATATGTTATCAGATTGAGGGGTTCTTCAGAGTTTCACTGGAGGGATTCAGGGATTCTTTCAGCTTACAGATATTTGTGAGATGGGGTTTTTGAGATTCATGAGGTTTCGTGGATTTGTGAAGGGGCTGGTAGGGTTCAAGGGGTTCTAGAGTCTGTAATGACATGCATAGGGGCCTAGCAATCAAACTTGTGTATAATTTCACTGGGATTTTATTCGTGAATAAATGAAAACTTTTGCTGCAGCCGTTAAAGCAACGCATTACTGCCACTGTAATCAAGTCTCCATAAGTTGTGTAGATGACTAACATTTTATGAACACAGAGCAAATGATTTACTTCTCAGACACAGTACACAAGAGTCAGCAGGTTTTCCAAACTGTACAGTATAAAGCTGAAAACAAAGTTAAATCACTTGTGTGGCACCGCGACCAAAGAGTCCACAGATTAAACCGAGCAGCTTATTTCACTGATTAACGCAGCCTCAACCGATGAAGAGGGACTAATCACCCGAAGACCTCTTGGGTCACAGTTGCACCGTGTTGTGAGCCACAGGGAGACGTGTTGGGCGCTTGCTTCAACAATGACTGCTGGTGCATGCGACATTTTCTGCTGCGGGGCACATGCCTCTGTTGCTTTCAGTGTTGAACGTCCTCCAACATGGAAGTCTCATTATCTATAATAAGTAGCTGTTGAGAGATGAGGAGCTGTTGATGAGAGCCCCTTGGCTGCACTATACGCCAGATGATGGAGGTTTTATCCAAAGTGCCTCACGGTACATCAGCTGTAGCTCAGAACAGGAACTAAACTCCACATTGTAACAATGGCAGTTCAGTGCTAAGAGGTGAACTTCACAGGAAGCAGCCGTCTTGGCACTCTCAGAATGAGTTGCCATGTTTCCAAAGTGGCTACAGAGAAAACATTACTTCCTGTGTGACACATTTAGACCTGTTCATCTCACCCAGGATCTTTCCTGGGTGAGCAGCAGCTTTACAACATGACCCATTCATCTCAAAAGAACAGATCACCTGAGAATTTAGCTTTAGTCTTGCTGTCTGACTAATGTGACCTTTTCCATTTTCAGTATGGGGAGGAGGAAGTGTCTTCCGACCGTTTGGACACTGACTTCGCAGACATTGACCTCTCCCAGCTTGACACCAGCGACTTCGACAGCGTCAGTTGTCTCAGCGAGCTCCAGTGGTGCAATGATCATCCAGCCGATGGGTCGCCGGCCTCAATCCGCTGCAGTACAGCAGATGAGCTCTTTGAGGTGAGGCTCCATCTCCCCAGTACAGTTCAGTTATACAGCCGATGCTGATCTACTGTCAGTCACAATGCACCAGATGTATATTCACTTCTTCACTGATGCAGCCAGGCTTTTGTTATAAAATGAATTTAAGTTAGTTGATTGATTAGATTGATTGAGATGAGTAAGATTTGTCACTAAAACTGGCTGGGACACATTAATCTTAGCCTAACGATCAGTTAGATGGTGGTGGTGGATCCCACAGAGGTGCCCTGTCCAACCGGGGTTGAGGTTATGGGTGACATGAAGGAGACTTTGTGCAAACTTTCTATTTCTGATAATGCTCTTTGGTGGAAGTATTTGTACAGTGTGTGATCAGCAGATTGAGCAAGAGATGCTGCACTTGGCAGATGTGGGGGCAGAACATTTGTCCCTACTCCTCCCCTGATCCCCTGGCTGACATCTGGACATGCAGTGTTTCTCAGGGGGCACTGCCAAGACAGTAATTCCCAGTTATGCTGTGTGTAACATGATGATGGAAGCAGGCCATCAGTTTGGATCAGCTACTGCTTCTCGGAGCCAATGAAAGCCTGATGTCAGGTGCCCCAGCCGGATGAATTCAGAGAACACCCTTCTTATTTTTCTCGCTGTGACAGCCAGCCCCGCATCATCAATTGTCTATAGGTTTTCCAGGCTTATTTCAGTTCATCTCAAGAATAAAAAGACAACAGAGATACAGAGCAGCATTCAGGTCGAGATCAGCGGCTATGTAACGCAGCAATGCTGGCGGAAATTGCTCGGATGCCGTGATGCACCATAAATTATTAGTTAAATGAAGACGGGCAAGGCATCATGGGAATGTAGCTGAAGTAAACTATTAGGCGACACCCGAGTGACTGTCTCCCAAATACTAGCACAAAACTTTGACAGTTGGCATTTCAGGACAAACTTGAAGTACTGCATAACAGTAACAGATATTTGTATTGACAGCGTCCTGTAGTCTTAGTGAGAAAAGGGCGAGAACAAGAGGCTTCATCACTGTGTCAGAGAAGACGGCTGCATTGATCTGTTGTTTTCACTCTCCTGTCCTTCACTACCTTCTTATTTGCTCAGATACTGTTTTACCTGTTATCTCATCTTTAGTGTTGTTGAGCTCTGTTTTCCTCTTTGCTCCATTTTCCTTCTCTCTTTAACTTTTTTTTTACTGAATCTTTCCTTTCTCTGCTTGCATTTACTGTAGAGCTGTGCTTTGTGACACAGCCAGAGAAATAATAGAACATACTATGAAACAACAGATGTTTTTCTATGGTTGCAGGACACACGTCGTCATATTGAGCAGCCCTACTTTCTTTGTTGTCTGTCTGGACACGAGTCTGAATGTTTATTTCCTTGCCTTGTTTCTTTAACATTCTCTGTTACTTTGCCTTTTGCTGTCTCATCACTAATATAAGCCATCATCTACACTGACCTTTGGTTTGAGCTTTCCATACATCTGTACCACCCACAAACTCCCTTAATCCCCACATTATATTATATTTCAGCCAGTTTCATATTGATCAGACTGATACAGCTATACAGACAGAGTCAGATGGCATTCGGTTAGAAACACACTGTAATAGAATGATAAGCCGATGGATGAAGCCCCCGTGTCTCTGTTTGGAAATACGCCACCTACCGTAGCATATTAGAATCTAATCCCACGTCGGGCAGGACTGATTGATGATTGATTGGTGTGTGTGTGACAGGGCTTCATTTAACTTTGGAGAGTGTAGAGCAAGAAATGGACAGTATACATCATTACTTTAATAATGATGATAATGCTGTATCTACTGTGTCAAATAAATCTATTTTATGCTGCGTCCTATCAACCATTAAACCTGCTGAGTCTCTTTCACACTCTGATTCTGATCCATAATGTTATTAACATAATCAGGTGATATCCTTTAAAAGTACAAACATACAGGTAATGCTGATAAAGTTCTCTGGTGATGATACACCCACTGAGACGGGCGGAGACCAGATTTAAAGGGGAAAGAACAACTAAGTGATTTTAGAACCATGTTTCAAGCCCCTGTAACGCTACATGGAAAAGTCAATTAATTCAAAACAAATATGTTTCATCCAAAGACAACTAACTATCAGGAATAGCATCATTCATACCCCCACGAAATCCACTTTGATTCTGTTTATGAATATCTTCTTGGCATCCTGTAGAGAGTTTCGGCATCGAAGAGAGCGAGAGAGGCAGCGAGCCTCAGAGACATTTAGCAATAAATAGTTTGGCAGCCGGAGACAGATAGTGCTGGATGATAAAAGGGAGAGACAGATGATTGGAGCTCAGTGGCTTCCTGTAGGCTAGCCATGCTATCACCTCTCCACCAGACTCTGCTCTCAGCGAGATGGCAGCTCCACAACATTAAACAACCCCTGTGTGGAGGGAACAGGAGGAACGGAGGGGTGGAAAAGAGCAGAAATGGTTTTCTGAGGATAATCTTCAAATTTGACAATTTTCACGCTAGAAATTTGTGGAAAAGCATGTGCACATAATTACAGAAACCAAAGCCAGATAGTCGAGAGCCAAACAGAATCACAGTAACAAACGTCTTGATTGAGCAAACTTGTATTTAGTTTTTTCTATTGAGGTCAAAGGTCAGAGGAACATTGTCCCGACCATGTTAATAAACAAGACAGGATTGAAGTAAAAGGGACCTTAGACAGCAGCTGACTGGAGCAGGAGAGTGACCCAGACCTTCCAGAAGGCACTTTTCTGTCTGTTTAGGACAAAAATCCCCAAGTATAAATGTAGTACACGTGCAAATTTGTCAAGTTATTTTCCATCTGTGGTGGTGACTCAAAACTAAACTACTCAAACAAGGCTGTTATTTCACTCCTGTGGATTTCTGTGCAGGGCAGGGCCACACACAGCATCTACTAATCAAGCCCTGTTGTTTTGCTAAATGGCAGGGAATCCTTCAAAATAAAACTTTTGGAAAAACTCTAAGAAAACTAGCTATTACTGATTGATATTGTTTTCAGAGTCCAATTAGCTTAGTGTGGTTTTCTTCTGGTCAAAATTAGACCCTGTTACATGACTGAATATTTTTTTCACTTCATGATGCTTGATAGTAGAAAATGTGCCCAATCTAAAACATCAACAGTCCATGTGAACGAGTAAGAGAGAGGGCTTCATTCAAGAGCTGCCACCTTTCTCTGATGTTCAACAGAGGAAACGGCAGAATGCAGCGCAGCCACAGTGAACATCTAAGCAGCAGCAAGTTCATGCTGCTTTCCTGGAGTCTTGAGCGTAGGAAATCACTAATAAAGAAGCAGACGTGGACATGGCAGAATGGGGAAAAGCTGGCTCCCGAAAGCAGGTTAAATAATTCCAAACTGAATGTTTCGAGTTGCCGTGGAGTTGGAGATGTTCAAATTAGCAGCGTCAAGAATGAACTTCAAATCACAGCCTGTACCACGACTACTAAACAGTGTGTGGTGAAATAGTTTTAACATGACAGAGGTTGCTTCTAACTGTGTCGTCACACTGGGTTGTGTTTGACTCCCTCCAGATAGAAGAGGAGAATGCGGCTCTGCTCGCCGCTCTGACCGACAGCCTGGATGGCATGGTGGATGCAGAGGTGGGTGGGCTCTCTGTGTTCCCCACCCTGGGGGAGGAGCCTGACCAGGAAGAGGAGGAAGAGGACAGTCTTCCTCTCAGTGCCGAGGACTTCAGCCAGTCCCTGGGGCCCGAGACAGAGGACCCATCACTAGTAAGAACACCTCTACTTTCTGAAGATGGGGCAGTGCTTCAGTCTGTTGGGTATAGTTACTAAGATAACATATAGAGAACACTTATTTCCATCTCCCCTGCAGCTGCCTAACCTCACTTTTGCAACACCTATCTGAACATTTACCCTTGTGTAACAACCTGATACTTTCACCTAAAATACCCTCATGTTTTTTTGTGTCAGTGGTCTGCAAATCTAAAGTCTCTCACAGCTCCAGTGGGGCCCTTCATACATGCTTCACAGCCTGACTGTCCTTTCCCATGCTCTCCCTCTCTCCCGTATCTTAATCTGTGTCGCATTTGCTAATCTTGATGTTCCTCTTGTTGGCCTGCAATGTTCAAAGTCTGCCATTACCTCCAGGAAAACAGAAGGGCACTGAGGCACACTAACCTTTCATCCAGTCCCGTCCTGTGTGCGTCAGTGTGCACGCTTTGGGTAATATTTTGAATTGTAATTACCTTTCTGTTCAGGTTAAGTCCAAGCTATAGGTTTTGTTGTAGTAACAACAGGTTCTCAGACCTCAGCAGTGATACAGTAAAACCAGAACTGACAGAAATGATGGTCAAAACTACAGAAAACAGGCTGAAAATCTGCTGGGCGTCTCTCTGGGCCGCCTGAACTCTGTTTCAGGGGGCAGACTTTTGTCTTTTCTCACTCTGTTCCACCAGTTTTCATCCCCCTGAACCACATCCCTTCAAAAAACGCAATCTCCAAATCATAATACAGGAACAACAAATTGCCGTATGTGAATACTGTGCCCTACTTTCCTTTCTATTTGCTCTGCTGTCAGAGGAATGCTGGCCTGCACCCAGCTCTGGAGCTTAATTCAAGCAGGAAGCTATAAAGGACTTATGATTACTGTAATGTAGCTTTATTGTACTTGTCGAGATGAATCTGGCCCTCTTCCTTAATTTAACTTAAAATTCACAGCAGAGGGGCTGCTTACAGGGTTTTCTTGTGCACTCTGATTTAGCGCCAGCCTACAAAGATACAGTACTATTGTCTGGAGGCCCTGAGTCATGTCGGATGGCTGAATGCCTACAGTGTAAATACTCGCCAAGCTGCCCCACCTTCCCTTTTACAATTACACACCAAGTAAAACTATAAAACAAATCTGTCAATGGAGATTTGTTTAGCTTTACAAACAGTTCAAGGTTTAGGGGAGGGTCAACTGTGGGCAACAGGGCTGCTTAGTAAGAGTGTGAGAATGGCCTATTTGGGATGGCAAGATATATTCTGTTAAGGAAAAATCGATGTAAACAGCGGATAGAGAGAAAAGCAAAATAAATGCTTGTACTGTTATATAAACTACAGATAATGAAGGTCAGTAGGTTTCATAAATCCACATTTAAAGCAGCTAGTTGCGGAAGTCGGGCATCTGATTAGGATGCTTCCTGGGTGCTGTTACTTTGGAGGTTTTCTGGGCACATCTAACTGGTTGGAGTCCTGGGGTAGACCCAGGACACCCTGGAGAGATTGTATATATCATCTGGACTAGGAAGGCCACGATGTCCCTCAGGAGGGTGCTTTAAAATGTTGCTGGGGAGACAGAACGCCCTATTAAACCCGATGCCCCCTCAAGCTGACCCCAGATAACAGATGGATGGAAATTTAAAGAGAGAATATCTAACTTTAGGCTTATTTCTCTGGCTATCACTATCTGAAACTCTACTCAAAAAAGTAGCTGCTGTGATCTTGGCGTACAGGTTGTGCTGTAGATTTACCAAATATTACTTTCAGTGTCTCTTTGAAATATGCTTTACTTACCTGGGACTTTGTTTTCAGCCTGTACTGTTGCCTGACTTTTCATTTTTTGCAGTAGCTTTATTGAGTACCGGGGTTTCATAGCTAATAAAAGCAACTGCTAATCTTATAAAAGATCAACAAGCTGCAGAGCCACGGTTTTTCATGCAGACTGCTCTGCCACTGTTGGTAGCATGACGAGATCTGACTAACCACAGGAAGTGACCTGCCTTCCAAATTGGTGTAAATGATAATGACTTCAACTTCAATTGACTTAGATGGTCAGCACAGGAATAAGGGTAGTTTGGCAGTTGAGGAAGCCCATTAGTGTATGGCTTGTGATTCTAAATTCCTTCTAATAACTTTTAAGGTGCTGTATATATCTGTGAGCCAGTGATCCTCCTTCTGTCCACGACGCCTCTCAGGTCATCAGAACAGACCCTCCGGTTGTGCCCCTCTCAAAGTTCAAGACATGTGGTGACCGAATATTTTGTGTCCTGATGTTTCGTCTCCCTCTGGGGGTTAGATCAGTAAACTTTGATTAGTGTTTTAAACTGTAACAGTAACAGTAAACGGCACACAGCAACACAAAACTGGTTTTGTTGCTGTACCTCCCTGGCATTGTTTAGTCCAAAACACCAGCTCAGTGATGCTGAAAGGTCAAGCCAGCAGATGCTGTCGCTTTCACTGTTGTACTGCAAAACACTGGTGCCTCTCACATGTCTATCGTGCCCTTGTTTCACCTTGAGGATGTCTTGACATCAGTCAGCTTATGTCAAAATAAGCCTGCGTGTAGGTTGGTTAATCTGTTGCAGGTCAAAGGTCTCTTGCGGGTTTTTCAGTTTCTACCTCCATGTAGTAACAGAGATGCAAACTAGTGAGGGTCCAAGTAGGTGACAACGATTTCCTCACCCAAAACTAAATGAAATAAGCCAGTTATGAAAGTTACTTAAATTATTTGAAAAAACTCAAGCTACAGTATTTGAGGGAAAGCAGTAGAGCTGTCTTTTCTCTCCCCAGACACAGTGCTCAGTCAACTGGTGGTTGCTTCATTCGTCTGGTAGCTGGCAAGATAACACGTTTTCAAGTTTCCTCGCAAAGACACACAGATCCCTTTTTCTGTCACCCAACCATATGCTACTATTACAGCTGCTGCTAGGCCTTTACTGTAGCTTCCACTTCTACCTCTATCTCTGTTGTACTGCAACTTCTGAACGCCCATTTCCATTCAGTGTCATCTTGGCAGCGCCTCTGTGCAGCATGTTTGTCACTAGCAAATCAAGACTATTTGGGTGTGATGTTCTTCTGAAATGATGGCAGTGTGCTCCACCTCCATTGTTATTAAAATGCTACTACTGTTCACCTGGAACAACCACTTCACATGACTGTAGTAATACCAAACCCATCAGTTTAGATTGCAGTTTACACAACATAAGTAGCATTTATATTAGCGCTCTCCCAACCTCGCGATTTTCTTTTTCTGCCTGGTTCATTCATGATTTTCAGTCTTGTTTTCTTCAAGGAAAATCTCTTGCTAAGAATTTGTGAAACAAGATTGAAAAATAATTCTGCTTCACTGAAACAGATTAATTTGTAAAATATTTATAATCACATATTTTGGCTTCTCCTGGAGTTTTAGATTTACTGAATTATTCACTCATTTGAAATTCATTGTCCTGGTCCTGTGTCAGGAGAGTCCTGATGGAAAGCAGAATATTTGACTTTACTGTGTATAAGTCATATTATCTTGGTATTGGCTGTTTCCATTGCGTTCATTATGGGTGGCAAAAATAGTAACCTGGCACTCACCTCCATTCACACAGAGAAACCCAGTGTGATAACATTATGCTATTTACTCTGCTGAAGTTGTCAGATGTGTGTCTGCATGTGTGTGTGTGTGTGTGTGTGTTTCATCCCCCGTTTCCATCCTTTGAGTGGTTTGCTGTCACATGGCTGCTGTCATTAGTGTACAGCCTTGAGTGTGGTGCTGCCCTCTGCTGGTGTGACATGATGCTGCAGATGAAGCTACACTGCTCGTTTGTGTGTGTGTGTGTGTGGCCTGTATTGCTCATGTTGTGGGGACGTAAACCTGTTTACACAGTCACACTGTGGAGACTTGACGTCTTTATGGGGACAAACACCTAGTCCCCAAAACATAGATCACTACATTTTAGAGTGATGGCTTGTTTAAGGTTAAGGTGAGGTTAGATATTAGGCGAGTAGTTTGTTATGGTTAAGGTTAGGGTAGGTCTGAATGTAAGTCTGTGATGTCAGTAATGGAAATATGTGTGTGTGTCTATTCGGCCACATGTCTGATCATCACATATCTGTTTTAAACCTTATTACAGTGATGGGATTCACATTAAAGATGTGAATAATAATAATCAACAATATTTTTAAATGTATTTGAAAGAATTCTAATTTGTTCTGACTGCTGCTTTTGATGACTTACGTGTACAAACTCACATGTATGTAGCTGTTTAGAAAGCACAATTGGAAGTTCTGTACATTACTTCAGCAATATCAGTCAGAATATGATTACAGATATATTAAATTAGTGTTTTGATAAGATGCCTGAAAATAAATCTGGTCATGACTAGTGAAAAAAAAAGATAAAATGGCCAAATGATGTCAGTGATGTCGTTAAATGCAGCTTTAAAGGAAAGTCTTCTTAATGCAAAGCAGAAACAAGTAGAGTAGTGTTGAGGAGCCTGGACGCTGCTGGTAGGTTTTCAGTGTTTCATACAGAAACAAACCTTCAGTCTCCACTTCACTTTCCTCAATGGGACTCTCAGAGGAGCGTGATCACACACTCTGAGCCAAGCTGGCTCACCCACAAAAGGCCATGGTGGCCCCATTAGCAATGCAGGCTTTCATCCCATTCAGTCATTCGACCCAGATAATATTCTGCGGTTACTGTTTGATGGTAATGTAAAAACATTACAGTCATATATAGTGACACCATAGTAAACAATAAATCTTTTTTCAGGAAAGAAGCTTTTTGCGTTTCCCCTTAAAAGTCTTCTACCACATCAGTTTCATTTATAAACTATATTCTCTTTAATTTTTCACTTTACTTTCTCATAGAGATTTGTGCCCACTTAAAAAGGCTGTAAATTGGTATTAAAAGCCTTCTCCAGATATATGTAGTTCTCCATTGAGACTTCAGGCAGAGGTGGCCTAACAGATTTGATGAATACTTGTGGCACCATGATTGACCTCCAGTGCATTTTAAAGGCTAGTAACTATCTAGCAACATTGTTATATATTTAAACATAATAAATAGAATAAAAAATGTACATTTAAACATCAGGCATTTGTAGCGTGGATTTAAGTCGAGCCAGTTATTTAGTGAACCTTAAGCAAATAGTCTGATATAGTGTTCTGGTCTTTTGCTCATCTAGCTAGCTAGCCTGCTAAGATAGTAAAACAACTTGTGTTAACATGCTAATGTGTTAACAAGCTCATACAAGATAGGTTAGCTTGTGCTAAAATGCACAGTAATATGTGTGTCTAAAAGATGCTAAGCAGGTAGGTATGGGAAGTCAGCTAACAGGCTGACGTTATAGAAAACAGTTGTTTCTTATTGGCAGGTGTCTGTTAAAACATGGTTCGGCTTCACAGTATTGTCATTCTAAACTAGTACGCAAATGTAATAAACTGCAGGTAGCCAACGTTACTAGTTGAATCTCACTGGTGACACAGCCCTGAATGTGAGGTTAGTGGGTGGCATTCCCCACCTCCACCTACAAGGTACTTCTGCATTAAGATACCCCAAAACTGAAGACACAGGAAAGACACGGGATGAGCCTAAATACTTTAAGTGCAGACCAGAGCTGTAGCAAATTCAAAATACCTAATTATTTAGAGAACTAAACAAAGTACCAGAGTTATGGGTCTGTACTTGAGCTTCAGGTTGACACACCAGATTTCGTGCAGCAGCGGGGTTCTTCATACTAAAATGCAAATTGGGAGCCATCGTTGACTTTTCGCTTCAGAGTTTCATGTTTACAGTTTGTACTTTTGACTTTTTAAATCGAAGAACAAGATAATTTCAAACACAGCTGCTCATCTTTAACAATAAGAATTCAGCCCCGACATGCTCCACCTGTCGCTGTGAGAAGGCTGGAAGCCAAAAACAACTTCTCCAGCCGTCCTGCTGTATCTAAACAATAACTGGTCATTTTAGCATTAAACAGACTAAGTTAGTCCTTATTCCAGTTGAGATGGCTTAATCATTTCTGATCCATTTCAGTTCTCTAACTTTATTTGTCCTGAGCAGGGATGAATTTGTTTACACAGGGTCAGGTGACAGTTGCTGTTTGCCAAGATATGGGAACCTCCAATATGGCTGCCAGGGGGCGTATTGCATTAAACGAACCCTCTGTACGCTGTTATATCTGCTTAGTATATCCCCACTGCTCCAATCCTCATTCCTATCACATCTGTATTTTCCACATCATTTTCTCCTGGAGCAGACGCTGCACGGCTAAGCCGAGGATTTTCTCCCGAAGCTGATTTATCCCGTCTGATACCCCTGTCATGAAGCTGCAGTAGGCACTGGAATGAATGGATGAAAACAGAGAGAACAGAGCTGATATAGAGTATAGAGATGTGCAGTGTTGGGGACTAGTGAACTACATGTATTTCAACGAGTATTTCAACTACACTCATATTTGTGTAGTGACTGAAGTAGTTAAATTATATTTTTGCCATTTTTTGTGTAGTTAACTACTGCAACTACAAATAATTTTGGGCTATGAAAGGAAAGGAATGATTTTTATTTTTATTTTTAGTTTACCATTGCTTCTCTAACCCTAACTGCCTTTTGGATAAAAACACTGCCATGTAAACAAGAGACTGCTCTGAGAAGTAGTAGTAATAGATGGGCCCTTTTAGACCAGAGTTCAAGCTGCTCATACTGTCTAAAGCATGTAAGTCCAAGGCTGTGCACGTCAGATGTTGCAAAACTGGCAAGTAACACAACAGGCCCATATGTTTACCTTGTTTCGTGGTCAGATAAATAAACTCAACAGTCATATTTTACTAGCATGTGATTTTTTTTTTAAATGATATAGTTGTGTTTTACATGTACAGCACATTTCATTTTTTTGCAAAGTATTTTAAACTACTTTGCTGTAGTTTAACTTCTTCCAGAGTGAAGTAGTTGATAGTTTGGAAAGCTACATTTTCAAAGTAGTTTCCCCAAAACTGGAGGTTTGGATGATGATGGGTGTGACAGGTCATTCAAATGGAGAGAATGTGTGGAGATGAAAGAATAGTGATGAGAGGTGGAAAGGAAATGGTAAGTAAGAATGATGAGCTGGAATCAGAAAAGCTTAGGGATTAGAGACAAAAAAGAAAGGAGGATGGCCATAGACAGGTGGTAGAGAAAGGAGGATGAGATGGCACAAACAGAGAGGCTTAATGGAACAGGAAGACATTAGCCTGGATGGAGGAAGACAAACTGAATGGGAGACCTGATGGAAGGATGAAGGAGAAGGGGAGGAACAGAAGTCATATTCTGTGGTAATACAGAGAAAGAAATGGTTGAATGTCGCTCTTGAATAGGAAATGTGAATGTGCCATGTAGCCGTCAGCTTTAGTGATGTGATAAATGTACAGCGCCATAACCTCATGGCCTCTTATGCACATTATTCCCTTGTACAAACATCCATCTGCAGGGATTTAACAGCTGACAGAACAGCAGTGAGATATATGTAGAAACTGAAATGAGAGGCTGGAAGAGCCAAATGTTGGACACTTTAATCTCACCGTTGACCGCTCTTTTTCTTCATCTTACCCCTTTTGGTATAAAATCTGTAAAATATATTTTTTATTAAACTTGCAAAGCTTTTTTTCCTTTCTCACTCTCCTAACCTTTTACACATTTATATCCTTGTATTGCTGTTATGTTATGGCGTAACTGAAAGTCAAATCACAACATTTGACCAACATTTTAATACAGAACGGGTGTAAACATGCCACTTTTAGGAAGCAACAACTCAAAGTGGTGATTTTCCACCTCTTTTCTATCCATCTGTTTTACCACTAAGCAATTTGATAGATACCAGTTTGCAAACTGCAGCCAGACTTATCTCTTCTACTCTGTTTTTCTTCTTCCCAGCTAAAGAAGCTGTTGCTGACCCCTCCCAACGTGCCCACGGGCATCGATGCACATAAAGATGGAGTCCACAGCCATCGCTCTAGCAACAGAAGCCTCCACCTACGGCCGGTCAGACCTCTGGTCAAGGTGAGGCATGAATAGGTAGATTTGTCTGGTTTACAGTGCGTGTTTAACATGGATTCACAGATTTTAAAACTCTCCTTTCACCTCTTTACCTTGCAATAAGGCGCAGCCTTCAGACTGTGAAGAACTGACGCAGTCTGACACACATCTCTGTTCACACCAGTTAACACCTCATTCCCTGCGTCCTCTGAAGGGCTGGTGACATAACAAGATTGGATTTTTCCAATCACTTCCTCGCTGAGGTGGCAAGTTAAGGCAGAAGTAATTCAGTGTAGCATGCGGGGACTGCAGTCATCATTCCTGTCGCTGCAGTTGTTCTTCAAACAGGTGGTTGCATTTTTTGCAGGCCAGAGTCAGAACAAAACATGCAACAGATATTAGCATTTGATGACTAATCACTCCTACAAAGTCCAGACGTTCAAGACTGTTTTCAACAGAAAAAAACACAGTAATTCATTCATGTACATTTTCCTGACAAGTTGCATCTTGTGGCTGTTCTCTCCTAAAAGCAAAGGTGGGGGTTAGCGTGACATAGCTATGGGGCTGCACATGTCTTGTTGCAGGGGCATGTTGATGGTTGGGTTGTTACCAGCTTCCACAATTTGTATCCTGTTTCCTACAAATAGTCAACACTGGTATCTTTTAACCATGACCTCAGTTTACAAAGTTGTGGGAGTTTAAAGTGAACAGAGCTTCAATCATAGAGATAGCAGATCAGAAAATGTTAAGATGAATCCTCACAGTCATGTGGCTGCTGACATAGGCCTTATTTTGTTGCACTTCAGACATGCTGGCCCAGTGATATTCTTCTCCGCAGCTTTGTCTTGTAAGATGTGGTGAAACCCTCCTTAAACAGTATCAATCCCACCTTGAGTGATTTCATTAGATTGGCTTTCAGAGCAGAGCGTCAGCATTAAATCAAGACTGATTGCAGTTTGAATGATTTTTTTCTACCCTGGCTAGAATAATTTATTGTGAAAGTACTGCAAAATTTAGAACTAACCCATGATTGGCGTCATAATGGCCTTTGAGAACTTCATATAGTGGCTAAACCCAACTTCTGACCGGCCTTGGATTTTTCAACAGCCACATAAAGAGGAGAGTGCAACCAGGCGTAGGCCAGCTAGTAGAACAACAGTTTTTATTTCCTAAATGACACATTCCATTTTAGAATATAAACAACTTGAGCATTCACGTTTGCAGAGACCTTCAGCTGCTGCCCGTCACAGATGCGGAGCCGGGAAACTGCCACTGCTGTGTGACTTGGCAGTAATTGGATAGCTGTTAGCATTGTGCTTCAAGTGGTCCTTGATTACAACACCAGCCTTTTATCTCGTACAAGCATAAAACATGGTGAGCCTTTACACAGCCTTCTGCTCAAGAAAGGAGGATACAAAAACCCATAGGGTGCAGCACAGGGATAAGCCAGTCTGTGTCCATCACACACCCCCCTGACATTGCAGCATGTGTGTGAGAGAGCTTTAGTTTCAGAGTGGTGTGGCTTTGCTGTGGCAGATGGCGGGAGTATTGACTGACAGGGCAGGAGGGCAACGGTGAATCACAGTCTCTGCTTCTCTCCTCTCTCTGTATGAGTAAGATGGAATCAGCCGTTTTATTGCAGCTGCACAATGATTCATGCCTCACAAAGTTGGAAGCAAAACTGACTGCTGTGTGCTCACAGTTCCTGTATGCAGGGCAGGAAACTGAAGGCGCACCCTTGCCTTCCTGAGTGTGTCTTTGTGTTGTTTGGTGGTTAATTTTTCTTGCTCCCATCAACAGGTACAGACATTGTGAGGAGATATTCCCAGCACAGCTACAGTGGTACATCAGTAGTCTCCTCAGAGACCGAGGACTTTTTCTGAGGTTGCCGTTTTATATTGATGCCCATTGACAGAAGCCTACTGTAGATACTGTAGCTGTGTTGCATTTGGATGAGTCAGAAGTATTCTTGAAGGTGTGCAAAAGCAAATAATGTCTAAGTGCATGTGGTCCAGAAAACAGTGATGTAGACTTATGGTTTATTATTTGTAATTTTAATAAAAGAAATCAGGGAATATTACATTTTTATGAGTAACTAGTTTCATTCATCCATTCATTTTCATGGGGGGGGGGGCCTGGAGCCAATCCCAGCCGGCAATCGGGCGAAGGCGGGGTACACCCTGGACAGGTCGCCAATCCATTGCAGGGCTAACACATAGACAAACACACACACTCCTATGGGCAATTTAGAGACACCAATCAACCTAAGCTGCAAGTCTTTGGACTGTGGGAGGAAGCTGGAGTACCCGGAGAGAACCCACGCAAGCACGGGGAGAACATGAAAGGTCCCGGGTGGGGCCCGAACCTGCTTGCTGTGAGGCAACGGTGCTAACCACTGCGCCATTGTGCTGCCCAGTAATTAGTTTCATCATTTTCAATTTATTTTTCTAAATATATGGATTAGATTTTAAAAATGGGTGAAAATCTATAAAATATACTCATGCTTTAAAAACGGCTTTTGAATGACTGATGCATGACAAGCAGCTGGGAAAAAGGAGGAAACTGACGGTGTAGAACATTTTTCTGCATTGAGTAATGAATGGATTGTAGGCTGCTGCATGTAGAGAGCAAACAGACTGAGGGTAACGTCTCACACTGGTCTCCACCCTCTTCACCCTCAGAGTGACCTTCCACAGGAGCGAAAGCCCCGTCCAGTGCGTCCAGTGGGCCGTCTGTGCACCGAGCTCCACCGCCACCTCACCACCACCCACAGCACAGAGGACACTCCGGCCCCCGACACAGAGGATGATGAAGAGGATGAAGAAGAGGACGAGGACAGTGAGTTAGAGGAGGAGGAGGAAGGGGAAGAGGAGGAGGAGGAGGAGTCATCCAGCAGCGAGGTGGAGACTGCTGTCCCTGCTGAGCCAGCCAAGCCTCAGTTCAGCTCAGAGAAAGAACTGCACTCAGTTGTTGAGCTGATCACATACATGCACACCTACTGCCTGCCCATGCGCAAGCAACAGGGCTGGGAGCGAAAGGACCGTGACCTTCCCAGGCCTCGGGCCCGACCTGAGGCCTCCCGCCCGCCCACCACAAACTCTCACAGCAGAGTTGTCTTGGTGGCCACTCCTGGGACTAGTGGGGCCATGACTGGGAGGGGAAGCAGTGCCCCCAGGAGGCTCCCGTTTGCAAGGCGAAGGGAGATGAAGGCCAGCTCCCTTCTCCGTGAGCTTTTGCAGCAGAGCAGCTGTTTTGATGTGAGCAAGCCTTACAGACTGCACAGCCCACCCTACGGTCACTCCCACACAGGGGTACCTGCTGCTTCTGTCCCTGCTAAGTCGGCCCCCACCCAGTCCCCCAGCTCCACCAGCCCTAAACCTGAGGTTCGTAAAGACTCCTCCTCCCCTGAGAGGAGAAACCTGTCCTCTGATGTGCCTCAAAGCCTGGAGGAGACCACAGATGACAGTGGCTCTTTCTCAGTTCGGCGCTCCCGACGTCTGGCCTCGTTCCCTAGCCGCTTTGCCAAGAGGCTACGGCCAGGACGGGCGAGGGATGGAGAGTGGAAGCACAAAGAGGAGGGGGAGGAAGGACGAACAAGGGACAAACTTTTGCCAACCCAAGCAGGAGGAGGAACCACGACAGGGACAAAGCCAGAGCAGCTAATGTTGGGTGACAGCAGCGCCGGTACCACAGAGTCGACCAAACCCAGCTGCCACAATGGTGAGATGGTACTATTCACACCTCTGGCATCACCGCTGCTTATAGCAGATTCTATTAGTAATATTTACTAATATTTAGCAAACAGTGGTTACAACGCATGTCACAGATTCTTTTTTTTATCCCAGACATCCCTCCAAATCTGAGTTTAGTCCATTGCTTGGCTCTTTCCATTATGGTCTGTGCTTCACTCAGTTAAGTCGTTGTAGCATGGAAATTACAGGATGACAAATGACTCATGCAGGATTTACTTAATGTCCTTAGATGAGAACACTGTAAACGGGTAACTATAGTTGCTGCAGTATATCTCAGCATGACATTCATGACATAACCAGTGTGATGCAGGTCAGAACTGAAAAAATGTGACTGTTGATCACACTGATTAACAGGCCTGAGTCATGTAAGGAGACATGTACGATACAATTAGATATACTGCAAA